TCCGAGGAATGGCTAGTTTCGTGTTTTTTAGACTTTTATGAACTGTAGAGTGGGAAAAATATGTCTTCCGTTGACGTCTGTCGTGTGTGTTTGGACCGATTGTTGTCAAGTTTTATATGTATGTTATTATTATGAATGATAAAATGCTAACTAAATTTTGTCTAATCATTCGCACCAACAATGTGATGATGTTTCTTCAAAATGTTTCATAGTAAATACTATTTAAATGGTATAAAAAAATAAAATAACAATTTTCTGGATTTTGTTGGACTTTTTTACTTCAGTTACGAGGAAAGTGGTGCCCAAATAACTTTAGACCAATTTTCGTATGCAAGAAACCTCGTGTTTTGTGATTTTTATTTTTTTATTTTGTGGTATATTCTTCAATAAATTATCTGCACGAACTACAAAGAACTATAAGAAGTTCATTTACTCGAAGAGAAAATTGGTGTTTCATAAATAATTTTAATCGGTCGGTTCTTTTAGAAAAACTTTGTGCAGAATTTCATATATTATAAATGTCTGATTATAATAGCAAACGGAATAAATTTTGCATTTAGTTTTGAGAAATTAGATACATTAAGAGATTAGTTGATTATGAGGAAAGTTTGGGGTGAAAGTTTTGTTTGCTTTTAGATCCAATAAATCAGGAGGTGTCTGGCATGAAATTAGAATTACAAATTTTCTGTGTCCTCAAACACGACACTACAGTCTTCTTTTTTGACGACAACTTTATAAATTTTATTAAAAACTTCCTATATTGGAATATTAAAAATTATTCTCTTGGTTCTAAATGTTTTACCAAAAAAAAAAAATTACATCTGCGGTATTTTATTTTGATTTTGACTGAACTATCAAATTACCACAAAACTGATATCCCTATAAATAGTAAGGAAATTACAAAATATACAACAGGGAGTTTATAAAATGTTTGCCTAGGAATATCATGAAATTGATTTTATTCGTCCTAGTTTTTTATTCTGGAGTGAAGACCACTTTTCTGATTTAAATTGGACGAATAATTTTGTAATAGGGACATTTTTACGAATGTTTAATTCCAATATATGGAATATTTATAATTTTTGTTTGTCTCTTATTGATTACTGATTACTAATTAATTAAATTATGCCGAAAATAGTAAAATGATAACCATAATTTGTCTGCACACCTCCCCCCTAAAAACTTAAGACGTCACAATATGGATTTTGTTAAATAAAAGAATCTCATTTGAGATGTGGTTTAATAATAATCTATTTGTATGTATAAAATGGTACATGCGAGTCGTCCTAAAAATTTGTAGAATTTGTCTATAATTATTTTATCTTTGGAACTACCAACAGACTGGTTTGAATTTTTAATAAGACGAGAATGCTAACCTAGTGATCGCAGAGTTGACCCAGTGTTTGTAATATTTTTTGTAATTGTTAACAATTTAATTTTGGAAACATAACACATTTGCATTAAAAGGTTCATGAGAGATGTACCTATGTATGTGGGTTATGTTCCAGAGGCGAAGGAAGTTTTCCTTAAATACTTACATTTTTTTAGTATTTACATTTGCGGCAGCTTTGTAAGAAAATTTTCTACAAACTTCGAATGATCTTTTTATGTTTTTGGAAATGATGGCATCTTACGAAGTGTAGCAAAGTAGCACTTGGTAAAAATTTATAACGGAAAATAGAAAAAAAAATAAGTTATTCAAATATAGTAAATATTAATTCAGCATTTTTGGAATGGTGAAAACAATATAAAATATGCTGCTCTATACTTACCTAAACCACATTTTCACGTTGTCATTTCTTTTTGAAAAAAATATGGCACTAAGCGTTATTTCCTATTAAGTGTTTGGTTTATTTTGATGGTAAAACAACCCACGAAAAGATTTTAATCGTGAGCCAAGAGATAGAATGTATGGTCGAAACTCACCACGCACTGAACATCCCGTTAGTTGAAGATAAAAATCTCTTGCAGTTAATCGAAACGTTCACTATGCATATAACGATTTTGGTGTGCAGTTAATTATTGCAATGGAAAAATCTGGTCAAATACCAGCAGGCAGCAATGCCCATATGCAGATTCACTGTCATTATTGCCTAATATAATAAATATATAATATAATAAACCTCATCCAATCGAGAATGTTTCTTTAACTCAACGTGAATGTGAAATTCATCTGTGTAACAATCTGAATTTTAAAAATATTATCATATGCTTATAGAAGCAAAAATTTGAAATTCAGAACGCGTGTTTGAGATAACGAAGTGTCCCTGGCCATGCTGGGATCTTTAGATTAAGTTCTTAAAAAAATGTGTTGGAATAGTCGTTGTAGTAATCTAGGACGATGCTATTGAAGTTTATAAATGAACTATAAAATATAGTCCCCTTGGAACTTATCTGTGATAAAATATTATACAATAAATTTGTGACATATTTTAAATGCAATATTTGGCGACCTTGATGAATTCTTCTATATGCGAACGGCATTTGAAACAGGTTAATAAGTGCACAGTAAGGTCGTGGTCTTAATAATAAATACTTCGTAGTGACATAAGCATTTGACATTGTTTATTGTTAAATATTTACGTGGGCGTATGTTTGCTTTTTTATGCATACCATTTGTGCCGCAGTCTGTATAAATATTGGATGAACAAAAGTTAAATTAAATTCTACATTTTCCGAAACCACGGACAAAAGTAATTTGAGAAATAAATACATACATCAGCATTGTTAGTGGCCACTAGTGCCACATACAATACATTAGAATCCTTTTATTATTATTATTGTATTGGAAGTGGCAGCTGTTTAAAATTTACTTTGTTAATATTTTATATTTTCGATATAAAGTGGTCTCATTATTTCAAAATAAAAATTATATTATTTCTTTTATAGCTTAATTTTAAAATGCCGTTGTTAATCAGTAATCACAGATAATCACATTCCTGTAATTAATTAATTTTGATAGATTATGGACATCAGTCGTAGGGCAAGAATTGCCTTCTACTTAATTCCTGGAAATTCTGAGTTCCGAATTTGGTGCATTCAATGCCACTTTCTTAAAAAATGACTTCAAAATTTCACTTAATTCTTGGAACATAACTGTGTCGAGTTCATGGTGGTTTAGCTTGGATGGTTTAGTTAGTTCGAGTATAGTTGGATAATTGGTTCCACTTGCTGCCCGCGACATTTTTGCTTCATTGCCGACATCCTCTCTTCGCTGCAACATCGTGTATTTTGTTCCAAACAAGTGATTTGTCAGTGGTTCTGAAAATAAATGACGTTCTTGCAACCTACAACATTTCGTCATTGATTTATTTTCAAAATTCAACATACGATGCGCAGGTTTCTTATACGTGAAAAAAGATGTTGCGTATTTTTTTCATGCTTTCAACATGAAAATAATTAATGACGGAATTTCGTTCTTTCGTGAAACGAATAGTAGTTTGACAATAAACATGTTAGCTGTAAGTTTTTATTCTTTAAGAAACAGCAACATCAAAATAATTTTTTAAAACAGTGAAATAATTTAATAATGGAGGACTAATAAATTAACGTTTTGTATATTTCAGTATAGCAATACTAAATTATAGTAAGGTCTAGTTTTTAAAACTATTACTATTATTTAAAATTATAAGAAAAAATCAAAACCTACGGTTTATGGAATAATACAAATTTTCGTTTTAAGATTGTTATTTTTCAAGTAATGACTTATTTATTACGCCAATATAAGCTTGAAATAAAATATTGCCAAGAGGCTTACATCATGAGTTAAAACAGTAGCGGAAAAGTTCAGCAATTGTTGTAAATGTAAGCATGTACTCAGTTAAGAATACTTAATATGTTTATGAATTGGGATAATATAAAAATTGTTGATGTAGGCTCCATAATTTAATTGAATCGGATGGACATTGTGTATTTCTAAGGATTGACAATTGAGGATTTCCGTTCTAAGGCCAGAACCATGCAAAATTATTGACCCTCTTGTAAGGTCATTAACTCAATTGCATAATGCATCTTATACAAAATGTAGAACGGCGAAACTTGCTGTAGAAGCATGTTATACACTTTTTTTGTTTTAATAATTACATTTTACTTTTTGCTTGTGGTTACCTACCATCAGTGGCCGAAATGGCACAACAGATGACGCTCCAAATTTGAAAAGAGTAACAGCATTCGTTATTACTTTGGTAGCTTTTTAAAATGTTTGGTTTGTATTTTTAAGGTTTTGTTTTTTAATTTACAAACCGGTTGCATAAGACGATTTAATCAAATCATTTCAATACAAGCCTCTTCTATTTAATACTTTTCCAGCTTCACACATCCCATTTAAAGTAAATCTTTGTTTTCGTTTGTTTGTTACTTATAATAGCCACTTTTTTTTACAAAGGACTTGCTATAAAGATATCGTACAAACGATCAGTTGCATTAATGACGGCGATGAGTGGAGCTTTTCATTGGCTTGTGTATTCAATTCATTATGAAAAGCTTTGAGAGTTAATCTCCAGTAGAAACTTGCATTTATTACGTCTTGTTCATGTTGAAATTACCTTTAAATCACTTTATGGCAAAAATAATATATTTTATTGTAGTAGCAACAATTGTCGTCTCTGCAAGTACCGTTACTTAATCCGTGCCAATGTTTAAACTAAATTCATAAACGTACACATAAAAATTCATGACAGTATGCACCTTCAAAATAGATTTTCCGTTATTTTTAACTACTTTCTTCATAGTTTACTGTATAGTCACTTCTTTATTGTATACAGGTTTAAGATTTTTATTTCTGTATGCATTGTTAAATAATAATGTCATAAAGTGATTAACCGTATCGACATTTGAGAAAATTTAAGGATTGCATGACAATATTGGTGGCAAGAATTATTTACATACTGTGAGGTATATTGTTGATAAGTTGTAGTATTTCGAAAAGATAATTATTAAAATGTATAGTGTGTAGCGGGTTAACAAAAACTGATTTTTTATTTACTTTCTTATCTTTTCAGACTGATCCAAACACAGCATTTTTAAGAGCAGCACGCGCAGCTCAGCTGGACAAAATTCAGGAGTATTTGGATTCAGGAACGGTTAGAGATATCAATACTTCAAATGCGGTAAGTAATTATTAATTAATCATTATACATATTAGTATATCTCGCCTGTGTTCAGAAGGAAGTGTTACAAATCAGTTACATAACAGTATTAAATTTTGAATGCAATGAATAAGTTTTTGCTGTCCAAGTGATACGTAAGTTTTTTTTTCGAAGTCTACGTTCCGACAGTAACGTCTGCAAGAACTTTATGATTATTTGCCTTGCTATAAAGTTGTTTGATTTAAGCTCAAATCATTAGAGCAATTTAGAGGGAAACTCATATTATTTCGCGTCCGTTTATTTAGTTAGCAGGCTGAATTTCCTGCTTCATGCTTTCTTCTTCGTTTCATCATCAATGATTCATTTTATTCATTGCAAGACTGATCGTATTCTGTGCTGTTTCCCGTTCCGACGTGCCGCTTTTGTCTCAAGAGAGAGAGTCTGTGAACCAATACATCCATTGTTTTTCAGAATGGCTTGAACGCGCTACATCTTGCAGCAAAAGATGGACACGTAGAAATCGCAAGGGAATTATTAAAACGAGGTGCTATAGTCGATGCTGCTACAAAAAAAGGGAATACGGCGTTACATATAGCATCGTTAGGTGAGCAGTTCTTGTAGTTCGCACATTTTTTACTATGAAAATTACGTGGTCACGTTTCACTCAATTCTTTTATTATTTTTTAATAACAAACGATGGTTTTATGCTTCAATATAACGAAATTAAAAAGACAGGAAGTTGCGCTCTGGTTGCTGTGGTAATTGTGATATTCTCTACCTAAATTTAAAAATGCAGAGCGTTTGCGTTTGCACGCTTCGGAAATGCCACTTTTTGTTATTTTATAGCCGGACAAGAAGAAATCGTACGATTATTAATTCAACATGGTGCCTCTCTCAACGTACAATCACAGAATGGGTTTACTCCGCTTTATATGGCTGCTCAAGAAAATCATGATGGTTGTGTTCGGTATTTATTATCGAAAGGAGCTAACCAAACGTTGGCTACAGAGGTAAGTAAGTAGGTGACTATCAAGTTCATCTTTACATCTGGACGCACACGGTGCTAAGCTGGGAAAAGTTTTCAATGCGCAAGTAATTGTAAAATTGTAAGTGTAAGGAGTATTTTATTTCAGTTGTTGCATAAAAATGTCATTTCAAATTATACCATGCTTCATTCGTAAAAACTCAAATCTTATTTTTTAAGTGACACACTTTTTTTGGAAAGATTATTCTTTCCTCAATACAACCTCATAAATAAGTTATTATGATAGCGTGATAAAATTTACAAGTAACTACAATGTAAAAATTTCTTGCCAGCAACAAGCTTCGAAATTTGTTGCTGTTTTCTTTGCTTGTGCATAATCAGTACATTTTTTAATAAAGATTTAAATAGTAAATTTTATTTATTCATTTTAATATGTTTAATATAATAGGTACAATGTTACGCTATCAACATTATTTGCTCTGAAGAATTTCTGAAAATTTAAAATCATGTAAAAAAAAATTGCTCGAAAGTTATTTCGACAGAATTTCCCTTACCCCTAAAGTATAGTCGAGCAAATGCAGTTTCAAAAAATTGTAAAATGAGCTTTGAGTATTTTATTTTTTTATGTGCTAAAATTTATGTATGTGTGGGTTGTTGAAGTACACGGAAAGAAATATCATATGCATATGTTTCTAGTAAGTTTTTCCATATACAAATTTTTTGATAACGTCATCAACATTGTACCAAGAACAACGTGTAAAAATTTAAACAGGTGCAATGTATGTCCTAGTAATAACAGTACTGTATCCTCAATGTTTTAGGAAAATGGGATGGAGAATTAAATATGTCGCCTTATTTATTATTTTTTTTTGAGTCACTTTGTATAAGCATTTCTAAAAAATATGAATGTATTGATAAACTACAAGTATCGACTCTTAATACTGTGCAGATTTTAGATTTATTAGTTTGAAATGGCATACGTCATCAACTTTTTGTGGGAGGGAATAAACGGATAAATTTTCAGAGCATTCGGTTTTGCAATTTCAAAGTTAAATGGGAAAATGTTATACAATTTTGATTTTTTTTTTTTTTCAAAAATCTGGATGCCTGGTTGGTAAAAACTCAACACGGATTCATAAACTACAAATGTATGTTATTTTATAAAATTTAAATAATATTTACCGTTGTAAAAGTGGAAGATGGCGTCATGTTATTGTTAATGGGAAGGATCAGACAAATTTTGGTTAGCGTTTTACAATATGCACAATATTGCTAATACAAAATTTTACAACAACAATCGATTCGGTAGTTTCGGAAATTATCTGAAAATTGACACAGACGCGGACAGACGGCAGGCAAAGAGATAGAAACGGGAGACCAATTTTTTTCGTACTAGGAGTCATGCAATGTCGAGAAAACACGAAAACAGTCAAGTCGCCCGGTGGGTTCAATTACATCTTCAACTTCCTTAGTTTACGCTCAGGAAGTAAAAAGTTGAATATAACCGAGATCAAATTCGAGAGTGCACGCTCGATCATTGCCTTGAGTTTTTTTTATACATCGGCGTTAAGGAGCAACTCTTCTTGTAAAACAATAGAATAATAAATGAAAACAAAATTATAACTAACATTCTGTTTACATTAATTTACATAGATAAGCTAACATTCATGTACGACCAAAATTTAAAAAAACTTTGTAATGTTGGTTATAAATAAAGCAAATTTTACTCAACATTTTCTGTTTTACGATAACCCGTATGCGTCACGTTACTATCGATGCATTGTGAAAGCATAGAGCTACAAAGTAAATTTCAAGTTAGATTTTCTTCGCAAAATTTTGAGACGACGACATCAAGGGGGGGGTAGTGTGGATAAAGCCATAATATTAGATAAATAAATAAATCTCCCATAGTTAGAAAGAAAATGAAACCGTTGATCGATATATTTTGTTATTGTAGAAGCTGTGAAACATCGAGAAAAATTTAAATCAGACTTTTATCAAAATGACCCTACTTCCCTAGTTTAAGTTCGCCGAGTAAACATTATTGTTGTGATTTACCCACTGTTGAAACAAATTTTTTAATTCGACGAGACTCAAAAATTTTGTTATGTAAATTTGTATGCATAGTTTTTAATGAGTCAGTTTTTGTTTCAATAATTTTAGTTTCCGAGTGTAAGTTAAGAAAGTATTGTAATAGGGTTCATCCGACCAATGACTACTTTGTTTTCCGGGCGGTTTATGATCCCTGAAGTACGAAAGAAAACATAGGCCTGTCGTTTCCGTATGTCTGTCTGTCCGTTTGTCCGTCTGTTCGTCTATCTTGCATCTGTCCGGATTTTTATGTTTTTCGATATCGTCTAGATGGTAAAACGCCAACCACAATTTGTGTGATCGGATGATCCACCAACAATGGGATGCCATCTTCAAAATTTACAATAATAAATCTTATTTAAATTTTATAAAATAATATACTCCATCTAGAATTTTTACCCAAGACATCCTGATTTTTGGAAAAAAATCAAAACTATACAACAATTTGTAACTTAATTTTGAATCTGCAAAACCGAATGCTCTAAAATCTTACGAATATTTTAAGGTTATCGTAATCATGATAAATTGTTATTCAAAATTTATCTGTTTACCTTCTCCCAAAAAATTGATAACATCATCTCAAAGTTTTGTCGAATAAATTCTACTTAAAATGTGCAAAATATTAGTGTAGTTTATCGACGCATTCCTAGTTTTTAGTCACTACGTATACAGGGTGACTCAAAAAAGGAAAATGAATGTAGCAGTCAGGGGCGGCTCATGACTTGAAAAATTGATGAGGCACAGCACAAAACGCTCTAAAATATAAATAAATCAAGTTTACTTAAATATTTTCTATTTAGTCAAATAAACAAATTTGTAAACTCATTTAACTGTCCACAAAGAACCAACGTGAAGGTGTAAGGAGGTCTTGCAAGGAAAGGATGAGAATGACAGGACAAAAGGAAAGGGAAGCGTGGTCAGAAAAAACTAATATAACTTCTAACAAAAAACAAAATTAAAATAAACTTTAAAGGAAACATATCGAAAAAGATCAAATACAACATAAAATAAAGCTAATTTGATTTATAACAAAAAACAAAATGAAAAAAATATAAAATATAAATACGGATTTATTTTAAATTTTTTTTTATGGATCAATTAACGATTTACTCAAATCAGGAACCGGCGGTTTTAATTCCTTAACTACATACAATTTATCATCATACGTGAAAGTAGAAAAAACAGAACTGCCATTGTCATTTAACGTTAGTAGAGAAAAATTCCGATTTACTCGTAATCTTAAATAACGATTACCGAAATCAAATTATGACAAGCACAAAGCACTAACGCGACCCACGCAAACGTAGGCACTTTTAAGACAAAATTCTGTTACCGAAATTTTGAATCAATTTATACACACACAGATTTGTGGCAAAACAATCAACGGCCTAATTTTGAATACTCTTGCGAATGCAGACTGCATTGCAATCGCACGTTCCCCGCGCGCAAATAATATAGTTGTCCATCTCTTTTGCAAGCACGGAAATGAGGCTAGCCTCAATTTTGTCTTTTTTCAACTCATACCGCTTATAAGTGTATTGCAGGTTGCTTGCCTATTAACGACATGATTTCTATATATGCTGTAGAGGCAAGCTTCGAGTCGGCCTCATTCGCGTCACAAAATACATGTTGTGCCGAGTGTTTAAGCGCGCTGTTTAATTAAGGGAGCAACGAGTACCTACCGAGATAAAAATAAGAATATAATTTTCTATATTTATTTTTAAAATTTTAGAAAAAAGACACAAATTATTGGCCGAAATGTGTCCGTATAAAATAATAAAAATCCTAATAAGGCGTAAAATTCATTGGTGAGGCACTGCCTCACCTGCCTCATAGGACAAGCCGCCCCTGGTAGCAGTATATTAATCATTAATCAAGTTACGACTCACTACGTTTTCTCGAAAATTTTAGCACAATAGTACATATTGCATTGCCTGTATTCAATTGATATGTTATTCGCCTGTACTTTAGGGATGAGGGAAGTTCAACTTCAATAACCTTAGACCAGTTTTTTATAAAATATACCTTGGTCATTGAAAACTTTTCCCAGAACAGTTCAGTTGTTTAATAAGTACTCAAGTTAATTAATAATTATTTATTTGGTCCGTAATCCTTGAAGTTTATGTACAAACGATTGTATCGCACATTCTAAAGTCATTTCCATCTTCAGGGATATTTTTATCTTTTGCCATTGTCGTCCCAACTACATATTTATATTTACATTCATTAAGCAAAGATTTTATAAATTGCGATTGTTGACTTAGTTGGTAATAAGTAGTTTAAATTTTTAAATTGGGGAATAGAACAGTTTGTATTTAATGCCAAAGAATACGGAGCAAAAAAGCTATTATTAATTAACCTGAGGATTAAGTATATCTCTTGCATCGTAGATGGAAACGGCAATAATCAATTCTTTTTACACTAAGGCATGAGATTCATTTGATATGTGATCTTTAGAATGATTTTTTTAAAACTGCTATAACGTAAAAATCACTATTCATTTAGCAAACCATGTTTATTGAATTTAATACTTTTGTTATTAAATACAGATTTACGATTTGGAAACTTCGGTTTGGTTTTTGATGTATATTTGGGTCATATCACAGTTTAAATGTGAGAAAAAAAAGATTTTATTTCGATTTATTTTTCGGATTGAGTATATGTCAGAGAATTAAGTACGAACGACAATTTTTTTTTCGACCTGTAACTATTAAAGAAAATTATCCGCTTTTAGTTCTTTTATTTTTATATACTTTTATATTTTATTATTTTGTACGATGTATTTTTTAGAATACGGTAGAATATTTTAGTCATCCAAAAGGAGACAATTCGTAACCAAAATTTTCAATACAAGTGGGCTTTACTTACCAATTGTTTGGTATATAAAATTGATTTAAGTTTTAATTTTGAAGTAAAAATACTAAATTGTACATTATTATCGTTAATTAAGCAATTATTATTATTAATGATGCATTGTTTTGAATTATTAAAAAGTATACATAAAGCGTAACCACCAGTTGATATCTTCCAGACGGTTCTATTTTTAAGTAATTCACAGAAATATTTACGTTGAAATTATTAATAGCGCTAGGTAGTAAACATTCTAGAAACCACCACTTCGCTAGAATCATGTGATGACAATATTTTATAGATGTAATAACATCTATTTTTCAAATGTGTGTATATAGTGTTTACTAAATAATATATTAAACGAAACACTTTATATTTTAGGATGGGTTTACACCCCTTGCCGTAGCAATGCAACAGGGCCATGACAAAGTTGTCGCCGTTTTGCTAGAAAATGACATCAAGGGAAAAGTGAGATTACCAGCTTTACATATCGCTGCCAAGAAAGACGACGTAAAAGCAGCCGCATTATTGTTACAAGTAATGTTAAACGAAAGAGTCATAGATGAAACTGACGTTTACCGTTTTAGAATGAGCACAATCCGGATATAACATCTAAAAGCGGCTTTACGCCGTTGCACATAGCTGCTCATTATGGCAACGATAAAGTTGCATCATTGTTATATGACAAGGGAGCCGATGTTAATTATGCAGCTAAACACAATATTACGCCTCTTCACGTCGCCAGCAAGTGGGGAAAAATTAACATGGTCACTTTGTTAGTGGCTAAAGGGGCAGATATCCAGGCAAAAACGCGAGATGGTCTTACACCGTTGCATTGCGCTGCACGGTCAGGGCATGATTTAGTTGTCGACATGTTGCTGGAAAATGGAGCACCAATGCATGCTAAAACGAAGGTACTCGTTGAAGTAGTTTTATTTTTTAATTTTTGCATACATGTGACCACATTCAATCGTATGGAGTAAACAGGAAATCATAATTACACCTATATGTCATCTATGTTTCTAAAGTGTGTCATGCCACTTTTTTCTTAAAGTTTTGTAGAAGATTGGCAGAATTTGTTTTTTTTTAAACAAGATCATATTTTTACAAAATTATGTTGGAATTTTCAGTTCTAGTCCCAGTGTGACTGCTTTAGTTTTTATGCACAGATTAGAATGATTTAAATTTATTTGGCATTTAAAGTCAAATATATTTTGGAACGAGAAACTAATTTCTGTCTTGTGTGTCAAGTAAAATTTTATATATCATTTTGTAAAATAAATAGTACGAACTTTCCCCCAACCGAACACGCCATGAACGTAACAAATTATAATTACCTCAATTATCCGAAAGAAAAATAAATATTTTTTCAACAGGCTCATTAGTAGATAAACGAGGAAAACGAATGAAGCTACGAAATGAAATGGATAAATTCAAAATAATGTCCAACAAAAATAAATAGAAAAATTAAAGTGAATCATGAGTAATCAGAAGGTTACTACATCATTTGCACAGATGCTAGTTGTGGCTTTTGTCTGAGTTTACATGATACTTTGGTCACGTGTGTGCAATCTTGTAAAAATAAATTATAGTTAGCGTTTCGCTTGAAGACGTTAATTTAATTTTGTAGAACGGATTAGCTCCTCTTCACATGGCAGCTCAGGGCGAACACGTGGATGCAGCTAGAATTTTGTTGTATCATGGTGCACCTGTAGACGAAGTTACTGTTGATTATTTGACAGCCCTTCATGTAGCCGCCCATTGTGGACATGTAAGAGTAGCAAAACTTCTGCTAGATCGTGGTGCTGATCCTAATGCCCGAGCCTTAAACGGCTTTACACCTTTACACATTGCGTGTAAGAAAAATAGGATCAAAATGGTAGAACTTTTATTGAAACACGGTGCAAGTAAGTGTATCGCACTTTTTGTTTAAGATTTTGTTATTTATGTTCATTGTTAAAATAGGCATAGGTGCTACAACTGAAAGCGGATTAACACCTCTTCATGTTGCTAGTTTTATGGGATGTATGAACATTGTTATTTATTTATTACAACGTGATGCTAGTCCAGACATTCCAACCGTGCGGGGTGAAACGCCTTTACATTTAGCGGCCAGAGCTAATCAGGTAATGTGTAGTTGCTGTTTGCCGAAAAGAGATTTTAAAGGCTGTGCGACCTTTTATGGATATGATCGTTACTTAACAATGTGATTATACGACAAGTTTTCATTAAATTCCAGGAATGAATAACATTAGCAGCTCGTATTCAATTAAACCATAACTCAGCCAGTTTCAATGTAAACACATGTGTTGCGGCAGAGATGACATGAATTTTAATCGTAATAAAAATGTGTGCCTTGATGCTTTCTTTATTGCTGAACTTGGTGTTGTTTTTTTTATAAGAGTTTCTTTTTTCAAAGGGTTGGAACGTCTGTTTACATTTGTTTATCGTTCTATAATTATTTTCAATTACGTAAAAGCTATTATGATTGACAATTACAGAACACATTGAAAACAAATTAATACTTAATTACAGATAATTTACTATTTTCTGACAACAGTAGTAAGTAGTTGACGGAATGTATTTTTTAAACACGTATTATGTATTGTTATAAATACGTACAAGATTTTCACGGAAAGGTTTCGTTTATAAATGTTGTTTCATTGTAGAAGTTATATATGAATTAACTATAATTTTTAAAAGATAAATACGTGATTGTGATGAGACGATGGGAGGTATACATACCAGTGTCTTAATTTGTTTTTGAGATATCCAGAAGCCGTAGAATGTGATAATTTAAGAAAGGTGATGAGATACTTTATAGTGGTTTCGAATTATTGGAGACAAAATTTATCACTTTTCGAAAAGTCAAAAAAAATGTTAATTTTATTTCGTTCATCTAGTTACGTTCTAGGATTTCAGTATGCAACTATGTTTTCTTAACTACCTTAATTCATAAAAGAACACGAAGTTTATATTTTTTAAAAGACAATAATTTATTAGCCTGAATTGTTTTGATTTTAGCTGCACATTTTTTTTTTCACTCTTAATATATCGTAATTCTAGTTTTATTAGTGTTGTATGCTACAATTGGAAATGACTATTTAGTTAAACTTTGCTACTATGAATACATGTTTTTCGTTTATTAATAAAAACGAATTGTATTTATTTTTAAGATAACTGTAGCGTATTACTTTTATTACTTTGTCATTTTTATAGGCATCGTTCAAAAGTCTTTTGAAGATAAGTAATACTGTTGGTTAAGGACACCAACACAACGCCTTAAATTAGACTGCTACAACAGAAACATACAGTTTTAATGCCTCTGTGGGAACCGTGAAAAAGAACAACATTTTTTTCTTATGTACGTTTTAATTTACATATTACCTCATTCATTAGAACAACAACGTTATCTGTACTACTCGTAGAAATCTAATAAATGTGTAATTTTCGTGAAAATGTTTTGTATGGCTGTGCCTAATTAAGTTGTCGAACTAGAATTAAAATAATTTTAAAAACTAGTTAATGACACTTTTGCATTAAAATATTCAGTTTTATATTATATTTTTTAGACATTTGTTAAATCTGCCGTGAAATCTTTTATAAAATTAATCGTCCTTACAAATACCTGTACACGTGATTTCACTGAGTTCAACAGTTCATGTTGGTTTCAGTCTCAAGAGATATATATACAGTATCTACATTCTTTCATTATGTAGTGAAATTATACTGATACTTCCACCTCGAGCGTTAGTAAAACGGGGTCTGAATCTTAAAAAGGGTGCCAATGATGTATGCTTGAATATCATTTTCTCGCATATTGAAATCAATAAAAGAAAACAGTTACATTGTTGTATGCTTTATGACTGCCTATAAGATTGATAAACACAGAATAACGTAACAGTTTTTTTTTACTTTCGTCTGTTGTGTAAGTGTATTATTCCAAAAATTACAATAACAATAATTGTAATATTTTTTTGAGCTTTGTCGCTTATTTAGAAAAATACCAGTTTCGTTATGATTTGGTTATGAAGAATTAGTTTCAATTAAAAGTTTGCTGATTATCTATCATATTACAACCATGGTTTACAATACCAAAAACGATGTGGAAGATTCAGTATTGAGCCCTGTCTGCTTTTCGTATACTTATAAATTTAATGTAATTCTTAACTCATTACACTAAACAAATAAGACAGCATAAATTGAATATCAACTATCTTTTATTACCTCATGATAATGTTTAACTATGCACTACTGATCATGGGTAAGTAGTATTTTTAATATGTTGTGCAGAGCTGTTTATGTTCTGATTTGTTATATATACGTATTTGTTACGAGTATGAATATTTCAATGATCGGATTGGCTTTTTAAAGAATTTAGGAAAGTTGTTCAGTACACAATGTTTATGTTGTCAAAAAAAAAATAAACAAACTATGCATATGAGAAAATTTGTTACGTCAAGAAATAATTTAATTATTTTTTATTTACTTTTCAAATAAAACATTGCACATAATTTTGCTTAATATTTTAGTTCAACGGAAGTATCTACAGAGCAGTAGAAATTTAGTTCTCTGTCATTTTCTGTTTTAAAATATTTAAAATCAACTGAGCCGGAAACGCAACAAAAAAGGTATTAAAAATGTGCACTTTCGTTTTGAGAATAACAAACTTATTTCTTGTATTGATCGATGAATAAAACTTGTCGTTTAATCCTTTCATATTACTTGAAATTTATAGTCTGGCTTTTTATTTTATTTAAAATGTTATTGCAATGCTAAGATTTTATCCATCGAACGTCGGCAATTCCTTTATTTGTAGTTAAATGTTCACATTAGGGTAGTGTAACACATTTCTTGTAGACTGATATCATTCGGATATTATTACGAAACGGTGCAGCTGTAGACGCTAAAGCTAGAGAAGAGCAAACTCCGCTCCACGTGGCTTCCAGACTCGGAAATGTTGATATCGTTATGTTGCTTTTGCAACACGGTGCTCAGCCTCATGCGACAACAAAAGATCTTTACACGCCGCTGCATATCGCTGCAAAAGAAGGACAAGAAGAAGTACTTTTTTATTTAATTGAAAATCGTTTAGAATTATTATTGATTTTTGTTAGGTCGCTTCAGTACTGCTTGACAACGGTGCAGATTTGTCTGCAACGACAAAAAAAGGCTTCACTCCGTTACATTTAGCTGCTAAATACGGTCACTTAAATGTAGCGAGATTATTGTTACAAAGGGATGCCCCGGCTGATGCACAAGGAAAAAATGGCGTTACACCCTTACATGTAGCCGCTCACTATGATCATCAGCCTGTTGCTTTATTATTATTAGATAAAGGTGCTTCACCACATGCAATAGCCAAGAACGGTCACACACCTTTACACATTGCCGCTCGCAAAAATCAGGTATCATATTAGTCCATTACATGTAAACAAAAATTGTAATATTTTTATAATTAGATGGACATTGCAACAACGCTACTAGAATATGGTGCTCAAGCTGATGCTGAGTCTAAGGCTGGTTTCACACCATTACATCTAAGTGCGCAAGAAGGCCATTCGGATATGTCTTCTTTACTCTTAGAACACCAAGCTGACGCAAATCATACAGCCAAGGTAATTAATGTTGGTATTATTAAAATAATGTACATGGTGTTTTACTTTTCGGTAGAATGGGTTAACACCATTGCACCTGTGCTCCCAAGAAGATAGAGTAGCAGTTGCTCAGTTACTTTTACGGGCGGGCGCGCAAAAAGATGTTCAAACTAAAGCCGGATACACACCATTACATGTGGCTTGTCATCATGGGCATGTAAACATGGTGCGATTACTTATAGAACAAGGTGCCGAAGTAAATCCTGTCACCAGCGCAGGTTATACACCCTTGCATCAAGCAGCACAGCAGGGTCATGTTTTGGTTATTAGTTTATTGTTGAAAAATAAAGCAAATCCTAACGCAGTAACAAACGTAAGTTTGGTTTGCACCCCGAATTGACTTTTTTTGGTACTAATTGTTTTTTTCTTAGAATGGACAAACTGCTTTAGGTATTGCAAATAAGTTGGGTTACATTAGTGTGGTTGAAGAGCTTAAGGTTGTAACCGAAACTAATATTACTACTACCACTATTGTGAATATTGAAGAAAAGTATAAAGTTATGGCACCTGAAGCGATGCAAGAAACATTTATGTCTGATTCCGAAGACGAAGGAGGTAAGTGTTTCCTTGATTCTTTCATGTATTTGTGGGCTTTCTTTTATATATACCTATCAATCATTAAATCTACTTAAAGTTGAAATTGACGTAACAATGGAAATTAACAAGTATTTTAGTTTTGAAGCAGTGTGTTGTTTTTAGTTGGGTTTTGCAAAAGTTTATCGGCGAACCTTGAATTTCGAATAATCAGTAACAAAATTATTAATGTTTACGTAGTTATCGCTTTTTAAATACTGTCTTACTTTGTTTATAAAACAGTTTATTAAAATCCTTCTGGATGGTAAGAACCAATTTTCTTCACTAGACTTTTGCATTACCTTCATGTGTATCATTTCGCAGCTATCATTTTGATTATTTTGCTGTGTAGTAGTTATTAATAGTCATTTACTAAACTCAGCAATGTTGCGTAAAAGTTGGTATTTTCGGGTGGGTATATATTAATTGAGGGTCATGTGTATATGGGAAATAAAAAAAGCGTGAGTGCGCTAAGGGAGGTGGTGGTTGTTGCATGCAGGCGGAGTGGACGAACCGCCCGTGGCTTACGGTCGACCAACGCATGCTCAGCACGTCTATCTACCCTTCTACCAGGGACATATGACATACACACGTAAGTCCCTATCTGTCTAACACATTATAGCTTCTTTTAGCTTACATGTTAACCGTAGATATTTTCATCGGTGTTGTATTTGTTGTCGTTGTGTTATTTTATCATTATCTGAATTGTTATCGTAACCGCATAGCCGAATAAGTCATGTCATGAATTATATTAAATAACGGTAATCAGTTTTTTAACGAGTTGCCTTCAAGGATGTTTGGTGAATATTATAGTATAATTTATATTACTATTCCTAAAATAATGATATACGATTTTTGTTCATGAAAACACCGAACAAAATAATTTTAATTCAACTGTGTAATAAATTTCTTAAAGGTGTGTGATGCAGTGCGTTTCTACTATGTCTCTTTCTGTATTATACGGGTAGAGATTTCAGATCAATAGTTTATTCTGCTATTTAATGTTTTTGTTGAAACTAATTGGACCCGACTGATTTTAATGCATGAAACCTTTGTTAAACATTAAAAGAAAACACTGGTTAAACTTGCATTACTTCCCTCGCTCTATCATGTTTTCACATTTCATGACCTCAAGAGTATCAAAAAATGGATTTCCCTTTTCGGTCTGCTGTCATCTGTCGTTTATGGTGTGTTGGCGATTTTACTATACAGAAAACCTCTCTAATTGATTGTGAAATTTTATACGTAAAGGGCTAGCCAAGATTTGTCTGATCATTCCCACCAGCATTTTGATGACGTCATAGTGTACAAATCTGCTTTGATTTTTGCAAAATATATCAAAATTGTGTACCAACATTTTACAATTTAACTTTGGTTAAACCGGATGCTCTGAAATCTTGCAAATGTTTTGAGGTTGCCGCAAGCAAAAACTGTATGAAATATTATTCTCAAAAGTTTGGTGGATAAAACATATCTAAAGTGTACAAAATATTATGAGTTAATTTTTAGAATTGCTTATACAGATTAAAATTATTGAATGAAGCAGTTGATTTTATTAATCAAATTAAGAACGGTTCATTCATTTTCCCCAAAACTTTCGATTACAGTACTGTTACTATTGGTTTTAAACTGTACCTATCAAGGACATTGTATTATTTTATTGATTCAATGATTTCAATTTATGTATGTGTCCTTGCTAAAATGTTCATGACATCATTATAAAATTTTGTAAAAAAAAAAAAAACTCACATGAAACATAGGTGAAACATGCTCCTTTACGTACAGTTTAACAGTGCAAACATATCTTTATTTTAATTCGTAGGAGTTACCATAAAAGAAAGTAAAATCCGCAAAATCAAATTTTATCATTTTTCTAAGAAACTGGGTTTGTTTGATTGTACTTCTGGGGCGAGGGAAGTTTTGTATAAATGACATGTTTTTTATACATGTGCCAAATTATATTTATCTATTTTTTCGAATTTATAGGTAGACAGTATAGTTGTTATTAGCATTATATTGTGTTGATATATGTATTTGTCCTTCATTAAGAAGTTGATAGTTGATGTCATCACAAAATATTGTTAAAAAAATCAGTCTGGGAACATATATTTGTATCGTTTTTGTGTTTTTTGTAAATTTCTACGAATCCAGGAATTTATAAGAAATGCCTATTACATTATGTTATAAATGAACATAAATAAAAAACAGACATGTGTACTTTCACATGGACAAAATCGATAATTTTTGATGTTTTTCATTGTACTGTTGTCTACATGTAACAGTTATTTTGTGTGAATCGTATTTTAGAGACACACTGTACCACATCATTAAGAAAGCTTGATAATTGTGATAATTAGTAATATCATAAAATTTAACTGTCTATGGATTAATTGAAAAGTAAATCATTTTGCAGATATTTTGGTGCAGGGGTTCAATTTGTTGTGGTGATGGTTGTTAGCCAAACTCATTATTTAGTATATATGCAACAATGCATGCTCTGGAGCAGTCTATGGTTTTACTTTTACAAAATTAATACTTCTTGTAAGAATGCGAACTCTTTAAATTTCGGATTCTATTTATGTCTGTAACCGACTGCATCGAATGCTTCCACTATTTATTGCTATGATATAGCAATTCTGTAAAATTTACTATTGTATATCGTGTGCATAATCTACAATTTTTTACAATAATGACGTGACATTTCGTTATTGTGAATTATTTAGGTTCTAGACAACAATAGTAAATTAACATATTTTTTGACGACTAGGTGACGATCCAATACTTGGTGATCAGCAGCAATATAAATATATGACAGTTGATGACATGAAATCTCTTGGAGACGATTCTATGCGCATGGATGTTACCCACGATGAGAAAAGCGAATATCGGAATTCGATGGGTAAAAAGAAGCAAAGTTGAGATCGTCGATAAACTTTTTCTTTTTAGCTCCGTCACACGTTAGTAACGAATTAATAATTAATCCTACTCATGTAAAAGAGTATTATGCTTCCAACACGTATACCACTCCAGACAATGTGGATATAAATCGACAACCCATAACTGTTGGGTAAGTACTAGTACTATAGAGTGTCCTTTACATATGCTTATCACTTCTGTCTTTGAGTTGTTTCTGATTTGAATTTGTCTTTAATAAATGCGCAATGTGCTTAGTTTGAACTAAGAGTGTGCTAAACCTTTTGAGAAAGCTTAAAATGTTATAATAATGTAATAAAAAACCTTCAATTGTTCTCAAGAAGTATTGTAATCAAGACAGTTTGACTGCGATTTGTTGTTAAAAAAAAATAATAAATTAACAGCCAACTAATAGTGAACTTAATTTGAACAAAAGTGCTCCACATTATAAACTTGATATTTAAAGAAAAGTAATCGTTTTACTATTGATGTTCCCCATTGAAAATAATTATACGTCTTTTGTAGCTAAAAACTTGCTTTACCCTATGGTTTGTTATTCAACGTTGTTGTCCAATTGGTGGTGAAGTGGTATACAAAGTGGTTTTTTATACCCGTTATGTGTACTTATCTCGTGCATGCGTACAATGATTCTGCATTGTGCTCCAAATTCTCACTTTGAATGCCTCTTCCTTTACAAACTGTCTTGACACCCATTCATGTCTTCCCTACCTACTAGTATGCTAGAGTGACCTAGTAGTTAGTGTGTATGTATTTAAAGCTTATGCAGACAAGAGTGGTCCAATCTAGAATACTCATTGCATCTTCTGGGTCCCAAAAGTCAAGGATCGGGTCTATGCAGAGAAAGGTACCTTTTTAATGGTACTAACAGTACCAAATTAGTGCACTGAATGCAGCACCACACTAACATGTGTGCGCGTTTTTTTTTCCTTTTATGGCTATTAGCAATTTTTAAGGGGTTTTTAATGGTTCATCTTAACATTGACACATCTTTACGAGGGAGTTAGTTGTAATCTTGTACATAGTTACAATAATATGTACATAACTTACAAATCATCAAGTTTTTTTTTTATTATTATTGTTTTATCAAGGAGTAATTATTTGCTTTCGGCTATCCATATTTTATTGAGAATTTTAAAATGTAAATGCTCTGCATATTACCTGAATCTCAATAAAATATCTTCAGACAAACCTAACTAACACATTTGTTGTCATGTTTATGTCTTCAGTGTACCTAGCTGGAAAAAGTAAGTTATTTGTACAGTGTACATATTTACCTATATGTGCTTCACCTGTTTGTAGTGTAGATTATTAACTTAGGTATTTATCATACATATTTTTTTCCAATAACTGATCACGATGAAATACATACAAGTAATTTCTATTGAAGTATAATTTGCACTTCAGAGTCAATAAATTAGGCAAACTTCATTGTTATCACTTTGGCATGTTGTGGGTAATTCAGTTGGCATTTTTTGGTTTTAACAAATTATAACAGCGAATGCAATATATCAAGAGTCTGTTTTATTAAATAAAGTTGAATTAAGGTGTTTTAAAGTACTGCATAATGTGTTTTTGACTCTACAGCTTCTTGGTGTCTTTCTTGGTTGATGCGCGCGGAGGCGCAATGAGAGGATGTCGACATTCTGGTGTACGCGTTATTGTACCTCCTAGATGTGCCTCAAGTCCAACCAGAATCACTTGTCGATATGTTCGCCCACAACGAACACCTCATCCTCCACCTCTGATGGAGGGAGAAGCTTTGGCAAGTAGACTCCTAGAATTGGGACCAGTGGGCGCAAGATTCTTAGGGTAAATCATTCGCGTAGCTACAATTTCAAATAGTAATCATTAAAAAAACTAGACCAGTGATCATCGAGGTACCCCACTTCGCTTCACTGAGAGGCAAGCAACGTGAAATCGTGGTACTACGTTCAGACAACGGCGAAACGTGGAAAGAACATACCTTAGAGGCCAACGAAGAGGCGATTCAAGATGTTTTGAACCATAGTTTTGACGGTGAAGGTTTGTTTTTCAGTTGTAAACATTTCAGTGTGTACATTTCTACGGTTTTTTAGAACTGAGCCAGATTGAAGACCTACATACGAACAGAATTACGAGAATTTTAACCAACGATTTTCCGCATTATTTTGCTGTAGTGTCTAGGATTAGACAAGAAGTTCATGCAATAGGCCCCGATGGAGGTACTGTATCGAGCAGTGCCGTACCTCTCGTTCAAGCAGTCTTCCCACCTAATGCACTTACGAAGAAAATCCGAGTCGGCCTTCAAGTAAGTTTATGTTTTTTTTTTTAATTACCAGGCGGGTAGATTTACATGAATAGCTCTCATTAAAAACCCACTTTGTACATGTAAGTGCAGTTTGACTTTTGTTACATTCAATTTCACGCTTAATAAGTGCTTTAGGTATATGATCAAGCACTATGATGTGCGGTAAATTATATGGTTTCTGCTTTACCACAATTAATAGACATAATTCATAAAGCGCAGTTTCTACTTTTTTTACAAATTTCCAAAATACCACGGTTTATTTTTTCTTTAACGTTTTGTATTTCTGTTCAAAACACTTTGTCTTTTTTATTTCCCTTTGTAGTTTTACTTTTCGAGCGTAAGCTAGAGAAGTATCTAATCGGATCCATTTGGCGAATTGCTAATTTTATGTTTTCTCCGTTTGTTGGAGACTATTAAACAGAGATAACCTTAGAAACTACTGGACTGTTGATGTAAAATTTTAAGTGGATTTTAAGAATATCGCATAGATGATAAAACGCTAACCAAAATTTGACTTAATTGTCCCCACCAAAAATAGAATAACGTCCTCTCCAAAATTTTCTTAAGTAAATCACACTAATTTGTGGATTAGTAATATATTTATATTCATAGTTTTCAAGATCGTTTATACAGGCGTATAAAAAAAAAAAAAAACTGCAAGGATCGATATTATGTTTTTTCAGGCGCAGGCCATTGAACCTGAATTAGTATCTAAGCTACTGGGACATGGTGTCGCGGTCTCGCCAATTGTTACAGTTGAACCTCGAAGACGGAAATTCCACAAGGCCATCGCTTTGAGTGTGCCAGCTCCAAGGGCTCATTCTCAAGGGATGATTAATCAGTATTCTGGATCCGCACCCACTTTACGATTACTATGTTCCATCACAGGTATGTAGATAATGTTCTTTTTTGTGTTTGTGTGTTGATTTACTAAGTGACGTTTGCTGGCGTAGTTTTCATCATTGTTTCATCCATTTTTTTCTTAGCACACAATAAAAAATGCTGTTATCTGTTAAAGAGAAATTGTTGCTTACAGCAATTTGCACTGATTTTCTTTTTTCAAAACACAGGGTTTACATGGTATGTTCTAAGAATTTTTATGTAATCGGTTCACTCAAAGAAGTGAGTGATTTTTAATGTAGAATAGAGACGATTCACTGAAGAAAAGGTGTTTTACGACCCTTTGGTTCAAGAGGCCTTTCTGGAAATAAATAAGGTCATGACTTGATAAGGGATAGGGCCAATCGCGTCAATAACATTGGAAATTAGTACTCAGTGTTGGGCGGCAAATAATGTAGAAAATGTAGTGTGAAAGTACATACTGCCAGAAAGAATTATTCAAATCGGTTAAAAACATTTGGCCAATTTAGTAGTTTATAGTAAGTGTTGTAAACACTTTTGGCTGTTATTAAACCTACTCTGATGTTTTAACATATCTTCATTTGTCCAGAAACGCTTTATGAATCGGAAATACTCCAGCAACATTGTTTTCCTAAAACTACAATTTCCATTGTTGCATTAAAACTTTTTTAGAATTTTTAGAAATATTTTTTAAGAAGTATTCCTAATTATTATTTTTTCATATTGTTTTAAATTATTTTTAAACATGTTTACCCTGTGTATTAGAATTTAGGATGTTTCTGCATCTGCAGTATACATTATGGAGAATTACATTGTAAGTCTAGTTGCATAGTGTAAACGATGTGAATAATTTCTGCATTCAAGATATAGAAAGTTTAACATTAACCTTAGATAAGCTTATAATTTTTTGTGGTGGTATTTTTTGTTTTTGGGATCCGAAAACTGTTGCTTACGAGAACAATTCAGTTGAATTTTGGTATAATATGGTAAATAGTAAATACAATTTTTTACCATAAAATCTCTTGTAATTTCAAATTAAGCAAACATTGAATATTTTAACGCATTAAAAATACTTTTATATATCAATATCCTTTTATGAACTACTTATAATAGTAAAAAATACCACTGTAATCGACTAAGCTCGACTTAATACAGAATTATGAAATTTAGTGGTGGTATTAAAAATTTGGTATTTTTTTATGTATTTATATCATTGGAAAAGATGCAGATTCACTCTTAGAGTTCTAACTAATAACTGGACAATATTTTCTAGTAAGTGCTTCTGCAGAAGCCCTACTTTGATCGGCTTATTTTTGTATGATAATAAATATTTATATATGTACTTATTTATTGACTGAACAATGTAATAAGTGCCACCTAAAAAGTCATAAAAGGTCATAAAGTGATGTTATCTTTCGAAAATTTGTCATTTACTGAATCAATATGAATTCTTGTTGTAATGGAAAAATCTTCAAAGCCTTTTTAATTCAAATAATGTGCGATAAATGGAATATTTGTAAGAAATTGAGGAAAAAATATTACTAAAACTTAAAAGAAATATAAATAGAAAGCTTTAATCATTGTATTACCATAAACATATTGTTAGCTTAATGGTGCTACTAATAAGTTGATAATCTTTATTTGTTATCGTGTTACATTGCTTTTACTAAATAGCGTGTGTTATGATTACCACGTCTAGAAACATTAAAATCTGAAAATTATACTCCACAGTAATTAATTAACATAATGCAACTACATTAAATTAATGAAGAAATTTAATAAGTTTTAACAAGGCAAGCATAACTTTATTTTCCTTTGATTTTGTGTATGTAAATATTAAGCAGAAGAAATTGTTTGGCCTTGTTTTGTCCACCGTGTTGGTTTGCATTTTATATTTTACGGTAATTACGGTAATTGTATAGATTTTACAAAAAGATAGAGAACACTCTTAGATAATCAAGCTCCAAGAAGTAGTGTTACAGGTGGACCTTATTTTGCAGTCAGCTTTACACTTCTTAATGTAGATTCACTTTAGATTAGATTTTCTGGGGTAAGTTTTGTATTCCATTTTTCATGACCAATAAGAATTCATTAATTTGAGTATGTTTGAGAGTTACAAAAGCATGCGTAAAATATGTTCTTGTGTCAGTGTTGTCTTTACTGTTGCAAACTATTATTTTAATATTCTTGCTTCTATAGGAACTAAATCAGGTAAATTTAGTTCCAGTACTTATTAAGCTTATTTTATTTTAATTTCTGCTATGTGCATTCCATTTCATCATAATTCATCATCATTCAATTTTTAATGGTCACCGATACTGTGATATTTTTGTGCCTATATAATGAAAACGATTTAGTTATAAGCTTTTCACATTTATATTTCGTAAAATTCAATGATTTTGCATATTAACATTTTTCTATAACTCATTTTGCATATATTTTACATTGTTACAGTTTTTTTAAATGTTATGATGGCTGGTAACACATTTTCGTGATGAATATTTCACTTTATTTTTATTCCCTTTTTGTCTTAAGTCTGAATGTTTGTCAGTCTTAATTAGAAAATGTTAAAAATGTGGAACATAAATTGCATAACGTTCTCTGTGTTGTATCTTTTATTATATTGTTTTACTGGTTCAAAAAGAAGGTCTAGCAGAAAATGCTGCACCACTGGTAATATGTTGTGGACATTGTATAATATATATAAATAGGTACGTGTTTTTAAACTATTACATCTTTTTTCACAGTGTAATAAGAATTGGTCATTGTAGGAATTTTATTTATCTTCAAAATCCAAGGAAGTCATTCTACCGTAACATTAAAATAAATGTTACTCGTGCTGATTTATAGTTGCGTTTTAATAAGCACGGAAAAGTTTGTCTTTAATAAGGGTTCTATTTTCTCTTTGGTAAATGTAAAATGTTAACATATTTTGATACAACTTGCATTGCGCCAAAAATAGATGCGTTATTTTTTATACATACAGGGTGTCTCAGAAATAAGTACATTAATTTTAACCAGTAACAGAACTCGTGAAACGGAACAACTTTTTTATCTAGCATTTTTTCGAAAACTCAAGTCGAATTTCGAATTTTCCCACCCATATATTCACGAGCCGTCTATGTTCACCTTAAATAATAACTTAAATAATAACTACACTACAACAATGAAGAAGGTACCCTAGAAACCGTTTTGACACTGACAATCATTTTTATGTCAATGTTTTTACTAAACGTTGTCTCTTTAAAGTTTGTTTGGCACAGATTTCTAATTTATAGACGAAATGTGTTGAAATGGCTTTGTTTTCAAATCTGGAATGCACCGATATCGTTTTAACGTACGGTGAAGCTCGGGGAAACGGCACTCGCGCCCAACGAATTTTTTCAGAAAACCTCCCAAATCGTCGTCTGCCAAATGTGCGCAGTTTTAAGAACGTTGCAGCATTTTCGAGAGTACGAATTTTTTAAACCTGCACCTCAGGATCGGGGTAAGTTACGTAGTAATAGAATTGCTAATATTGAAGAGGCTGTTTTGAAGGGTGTCGAAGCTCGACCGGGCACTAGCACGTATCACTGTCTAGTGTGATGTATCGGAGAGTAGTATTTGGAGGATATTCAGAGAACAAATGTACCCCTTTCAGGACCAGAAAGTTCAGTTATTGAAACTAATAGACTTACCACGTAGGCAAAACTTTTGTGAGTGGGTTAATAGAAAAATAAACGAACAAGCAAATTTTGTATCTCTTATACCATCAACTGATGAGGTCGGTTACACGAGGGAAGGTGTTCAACACCCACATTTGGGCCGATGAAATTCCGTACGCCATTAGGGGGCAGGATTTTCAATTTCTCTCTAAATGTTTGTCACATTGACAAGATTAGGAAAATACGTATCCTAGTAACTGTTTTTGACCATAAATTATTAATTATAATAATTATTAGTGTCCATGGGTGACTGAGGATCCATGGGCGGGTAACCTTAATTGGGATATAACTTTAACAATTTTTAACTTGATAATTAAAAAGTTCTTGACAAAACTTTACTAAACAAAGTTGTTGAGTTCAATGAGCTGTATAACTGATTAGAATTAATGTACTTATTTCTGAGACACCCTGTATAATGTGTGCCAGTGGTTGAAGATTCAGTTTTTGTCAAAATAGTTTTGAAGTGAATACAAAAACATTTTTCCGTTTTCTAGGGCCTTCAGATTTGGTTTGTTTTACTCTTATGTCAATACCAATGTAATTATTGTAAAATTCACACATTTCTATAGGGCTTTATGTTCCGCAAATATTTATTCTGACAAACACTCTTTAATCGTAATTATGATATTTAAATAAATTTTCAGTTTCTTACAATATCACATTGAACGTATTTCGTTGCGAATTAAATTTAGTTGAAGCATCCCTTAACAATCCATATTAATTTCAAAATAATCACTTCTCGCATGATTTCCGTACAGGTGGTCAAAACAAAGCGGTTTGGGAAGACGTTACCGGCTCAACACCACTAACATTTGTCAAAGACTGCGTCTCGTTCACAACGACGGTATCAGCACGTTTTTGGCTGATGGACTGCAGAAATGTATCGGACGCCGCAAGAATGGCAACCGATTTATACACACAGGTACTTGATTAACCTCTCATTGCAAAGAATAAATTAACCGAAAAATGATCTTCATGTAGGCAACACATGTACCTTTCATGGCAAAATTTGTTGTTTTTGCCAAACGAGTCAGCCTTTTCGAATCAAGAATACGAGTATTTTGCATGACAGACGATAAAGAAGACAAAACTTTAGAACACCAGGAACACTTCGTGGAAATTGCGAAAAGTAGAGATATTGAAGTACTTGAAAATAAAGACGTTTATATGGAGTTTGCTGGCAACTTGGTGCCTGTGCTACAATCGGGCGAACAGCCTAGATTAGGCTTCAAGGCTTTTAGAGAAAATCGTCTCGCTTTCACGATGCGACTGAGAGATCCAGTGAGTAATTAAATATTTCTTACGTGGATTTGATGAAATGTTTTTTGAATAATTTATAGGATGAGGAGCCAGTTGGTCGTATCATCTTTATGAGTGACTCTAAAGTGGCCAAAGGCGAACCCACTCAAACTCCTTTATGTACTCTCAATCTAGTTTTACCTAAGGAAATACTTCCCGATCGCGATTCACAATCAGATTTGCTTTCGCTTCATGTTGATAATAGTTTTCTCCATCACGGTGGTATAAGTAAGTTGTGTTTCTTTTAGTTGGTACCTCTTTACACGAACATTTTTTTGTAACAGGTAAACCTGATACCATTCATCGCGCCGACTTCAGATTATCTGACATTTGTAATCTCCTGGATGAGGACTGGGTCAAACTTGCAGAAGAATTAGATATCGCCCCCTCTGACATCACTCTAATACGTGAAGAATACCCGAATAATAATCCACAACAAGCTATGATCATGTTCAGACTGTGGTTACGACAAAAAGCTAATAAGGCTACAGGTATGACTGGATCTTGAGATATTTTCGATAAGATGTAGTAATCGTAAGTAATATTTTAGGAAATAAGCTGGAGTTAGCACTAAAGAAAATTGGGCGACCCGATATTGTTTCCAAATGTATTTGTAATGTTGAATTGGTTACTGATGATATGGAAAAAGCTCTCGCTAAGGTACGTTTGGACCAGTCCGGATTCGATACATTGAAAGACGAATTAGGCTCTTCAAGAGACGCATCGCTAAGACGGGATACAAGTATAAATAAGTACATTAAAGGCAGTCAGGATGAACTTGATAAAAGTGATAGAAGCAGTAAGTATTTCAAGATGTTGATTTTATTTATAGTCCGGCATAGCTGAGACTTGAAATTCGCTTGACCTGTTAGTTTATACAAACTGTAACCTTTTTTTACCCCCTTTGGGAATTAGGAGTTGCTTATTCCGACCAGTATCAATTGCCAAAATAAAAATTTCTTATTTAGAAGGTATATAAGACTTGATCCACGAATTTCAGGAGTACCTTCTGAAATATATAAAGTCGCCAACTCTTATAATTCTTTATTATAGCTGGCAATTAATGAAACTACGAAAAACACACAATGCAATGTAAAATCAAATAAACAATTGTTAAAAAAAGAAAATCGGAATACAAATATAATTAAACAATTGTGCATCTTCATTGAAATGAATTTTTAAAAATGGCAAACGTCGAATATCAAAAAGAATTTTTGGGATACATAACGTGTTTTCGTACACTGAATGATCAAAGAAGAGTCCATTAGATTTTGAATGAAGTGTTCAGTAGTATCTAACCACGTCTTGTAAACTGATTGTGGAACAAATAAGTGATCAATGATCATGGAACTACGTTTCTAAATACATATAATTGGAATTTTTTAGTCATCGTTGAAAACATTTTTTTACTCGGAATTTACTCGACACTTTTGTTATATGTATAACCAATTGTAAACTTCGAGTTAGTATACGGAGGAAATTACGATTTTCCAAAATTAAGAAATGTTATACTGAGTGATGTTTGAAATTTCTGCTGTAGTTATTCATGACGCTTACGTCTGCAGTGAAATGTATTGTGTAACTTGAACTTGAATAGTCTATTTTAGGTTGCCTGAATATCGAGTGTAATTTCAAAAAAATTGGGTCATTCAAAGTTGATGTCACCAAAATTTCAAAATCATACAAAATCTTTTATTTATAAGAATTTAAACCATGAATACCACACTTACGTTGCAATAAATGCTGACAATGTTTACTCTTAGCTTCTAGACATAAATTGACTCTTCATTTCATGTTTGAATACTCGGAGAAGAACCTCTTTTGTTCACACTATTCTCGAATTAGAACTTTTAAGTCGTCGATGGTTTGCACAGTTTCTTTACTTTTTGTGTTATTTTGTTTAGATTGTTTATTCTGTTGCGTTCTTCTACTTCTTTCCTACAAACTTCATCTTACCAATTTTTTTCTACTCTGTTTCTCTTTTGGCATTATCTGGTTTTTCCTTTGGTTCAATATTTTCTGCCCTATTTGTTTCCTGAAATTCACTCTGGCTTCCTTCTTTTGAAGTAATTCACTATTACTATTTACTGCTCGGATTATTTTTCGGTTTATCTAATGTTGGCATATTTGTTCCTATTTCATTCTAACTAGGAAGTGGTCTAAATTTGTGTCTGCTTCCACTAGTACGTGATCTATTTGTTTACTGTTCTTCCATTCGTAGATATCTAAGTGCCCTTCTGAATCTCTTTGAGGTCAAAATATGTGCTCGTGATTGTCATGTTGTGCTCAAGGGCGAATTCTATTAATCTTCTGCCGTTTAAATTGTTTTCCCTGTGTTTGGTCTTCCACCTAGTTATTTGTTTGTATATCTCTTCTCTGTCAACTTTTGCATCGAAATCGTCAATAATTATTATTTTACCTTACTAAAAATGTTTTCTAATTTTTCATAATAACTGCCCTTAATAGCTTCGTCTATATCCTCCGGTGCTGCATGCACATTAAAATTAATGATATTTTTCTATACCTTCTCCAAAGTCTTAAAATTAAATTACTAAACTTCAAATTTTATTCTTGTTCGACAATATTCTCTTATTAATGAAATATCTGACCCTAAATATTCTAATTATCCCCATTATTGAAAAACATGTAGTTTCTTACTTGTATACAGAAAATTACCTTTTATGGAGTTTCCTGAGCGGATACTATATCAATAATTTTTTAAAGTCTTTTCCTTAAAAGCTCCCCTACTGTCCTGCGATTATCCCATTTCTAGTGTTATTGCTTATTCCATTTTCCCGTCCGTGTCTATTTTTGTCGTAGTACTATTCATAAATCGAATTCGGTTCAGTAATTTTTGAAGCTTTTTGGTACATAAAGCATAAGCATGCATATATAAAATTGGATACACAATATTATATAAAATTTCTGAGAATCAGAAAATTTGAGAGTTGTTCTGATTTGTAAAGTGAAATTTTAATTGGACCCGTATACAAAACTACATCACATACAATGCCTTTTTGTGTTGTACCAAGAAATGTTAAAAAAAAAATTGTGGAATAATTTCGAGTCCCAGATCTCGGGCTATCAAGTTACATCGTATTAAAACTCAAAAATTATAGATGATTTCCAAAATCAAAACTCAACGGATAAAGATCTGACCGATACCATCAGCGACCAGAAATTGGAAAAGTCAATTGAAAATCAGCTGGACAACAGATCTGTGTCCCCTAACGCAAATCGAGAGATTATAGAAGAAATCACTCAGCAGCTAAACCACTTGCAGTCCACTCCGAAATTAAAAATTGACGCCAATGCTAATACGCCCCCACCTAGTCCCGCAGAATTTCACTTCGATAGAGAAGCAAATTTCATGAATCAAATGCACCCGACGAAAGGTAAGTGATGCCGAACCTGTAAATGTGCTTTTTTGAAATTATGTTTGCTAACAAATTGTTTCGTATGATGTATGTATTAAGTTTGAAAAGTGGATAAAACGTCGTTATTTGTTGTTCATGCAAGAAATAACGAGCCGCATTTAGTTTTAAGTTGTACATTGTATTCACAATAACACAGTAGTCATGCCCATTTTAATATTTCGCTTTTTTAATTCTGCATTCCGCGTGGTGCAATGTTTTTCATGCACATGTCAGTTTCTTAGCTTTAGAAACTAGCACTTTCTTTTTTAATTTGCATTCACACAATTAACCTTAGCACATAGCAAATAGCCTCTCAGTTTCTTAGTAGATTGTATTTTTAATTATTTCAAAAGGAACCAGCCCAACTCAAGAAGAAATTGTAACTTCTACGCCTTTGAAAAAAGACAACCAATCTGGTGATGTGTTCATTGATCCTATAGCTGTTCTTAAAAAGAACGTTAATGATACTTTGACATTTTTGCATCAAGAACGCAACGATTTTTTACCAGAAGATGATATTATAATACCTAGTCGAAAAGATGATCATATATCTAAAAAAATTGATCTTGATAGTATTAATTTGAAAACTCAGAAGAAATCATCGGATGATTTAAAAAATGTTATTCAAAACGAAGTTAATGATGTAATTAAGAAAGCTGAAGATGTAGTAAATGACTTAAAGAACGACACAGAAAGTATAGTAAAAGAAAAAATTGATAGGAGTAAAGAATTTGTTGAAGAAACAACAGACAGTCTCAGAGAAACCGGAGATAGTTTAGTGGATGATTACAAAAATGTAACTGAGGATTCATTAGATAACTTGGAAAGTTTAAAAGACGATTCCATCACCAATGCACAAGAAAAGAGTGAGGAAGCTTTCAAGTTTTTGGAAAATGAAGCCAGCACTCCACCAACACCGGTTAGAAATAAATTGAAAGAGACAGCTAATTTTGTGCAGCAAGAAATAGATTCAGCAATAAATGATGTGGATATTTCAATAAGTCCAAATAGAAGTGCAATACCTGTGGCCAAATCAAAACAAAAAGGAGAAAAAGAAAAAGACATAGACTTATTATTTTCATATGATGGTAGAGAAGCTGCATCACCACCTGAAGATGATTTGTTGAGTAAAATTCCAATAAAAGGTGGCAAAGTAAAGACGATAAAAAAACATTCAAAAGACCCATTAAAAGAGTTTGTTAAACTTTCACAAGACGTTAATTGGGACGATAATGACGAAAATATAACTGAAAAAATTGTAATGAACGTCACAGCAGATCCCATAGTAAAAACAACACCAACTAGAATAACAAGTGAAACTGTTAATTCCGAAAGAATAAAAAGTAAAATTCCGGTTCTCCACACGGAAACTCTTTCTCCAACTGAAATCACAGAACGATACGAAGTGTCACCGAAAAGTAAAATTCCAATATTAAAGACAGAAACGACTAGAATAACATCACCAGAAACAACCTACGTCGAACGAACGATAATTTCGCCTACGCAAGTTGTCGAAACGACGGTAGTATCGCCTGGATCAAAGATTTCAAAAAGTAGTACGATCGAGTCAGACTCGGATGACGATAGTCCGAGAATGACACCCCCTTTAAAAGGTATATTAAAGAAGACTAGCATCCGAACTGTTGGCAGTTCAAGTGGTTCAGACGTGGCGCTTCATGAAGAGGGTGCCGAATTGAGTGAAAGCGAAACAGGTATGTTAGTCTTTTGTTAGAAGCTTGCTTCTGTTCTAGTCACTCTCAGACTTTAGTATAGATTATAGGCTTTGCGTTTCTTCTTTCTATTTAAGCTAATGCTCTGTGCAAAGAATTTATCGAAAATTTGAATTTTTTTTACTACATCAAGAAAAAATTGTAGCGATTTACCAAGGTTAAATTACGAATTAAAATATACATATATATTGTTGTATTCATGAAATGTAAAAAAATATATAATTCTACTTTGTCAAAATAACTTTATATTAAATAAAAAAAGAAAAGGATTTTTTGTAACAATGCTACTTAATTGGTAATCTCTAAAATACAAATATACATATCCTTAATTATTTGTTGTATATAGTTATAACTTGTAATGAAGTTAAGTAACAGTCCAATGATTTTAATATCCTTAACTTACACTTTTTAATTCTTACGGTTTTGTTTACAAGTACTATTTGGCTCATAATATTAATTAATAAAATATCATAAGGAAAGTATATTTCGAATTATTTATAAAAAATTAATTACAGTGACATTTGATTAATTTGATATGTCAGAACTAAATAAAAAATCTTTCAAACGCGAGAAATGCTGATTATATTTTATCCACGTTAAAAGAATACTTTATGCTACCAAATTTAATATATTCTTTAAAAGATTATTCTATCAAGTTGTGTATCGAGTCTCCAATCGCTGAAATGTCTCACCAGTTTTAGCTATATTAGCTTGAAATTACAAGAGTTAAGCAGTTATAGTTTCCATTACAGGTTTTTATAATAAGTTTAACATAAATTTATTTATGTTGATTATCCTTTAGGAATTCTGTTTTAAAAGTAATTGTCATGAATTAAAAAAAATGTATCACTGGAAAGATTCTGTCTTCACAAGTGAAATTTTGATTATTTTTTTTATTCTTTACACGTTATCAATTTCCAAAACGATCACTATTCACCTTAGCGTTGTGAATAGTGAGATACAATTTTGGCGTTGATAGGCGAATGCTCACTCTTGCGTGACTTATAACATTTATTAAACTATCAAACTAGTGAAGTGTAATTTTTCATTAAAATGTATCGTGTGTATTATGTCTCGAAATGAAGGTACGTTAGTCTTTTGTTAGAAGCTTCTAGTCACTCTCAGACTTTAGTATAAATTATAGGCTTTGCGTTTCTTTTTTTTAACAACGGACTTTATAAAATGTACTGTTGCCGTGAGATAAATAAATATGTCATATTTATACCTTCTGACAATTAGCACATTAGCTTCTGAATAGGGCGCATATAACGAAATAAATAAATAAAGTGAGATTTTAATGTCGATTTCTGAAATAATGTATTATGTAATTAATAAGAAAAGTGTAACATTTTCGGAGGTTGATAGACGAGAAACTACCAGAAGTTCAGGAATGTACTTTTTTACGAACGTAGGAGGGAGATGAAATTTTTCTTTTTTTACAAAGTAATGATACATTATTTTCATACCATTCATAGGACCTTCAGATCCTACTTATGGTAGTTTAAGATTTTCCACGGCGAATTACTATTTGTATGTATTGAGATAAAAATGCAGAGGTAATTAATAATAATTCATGATATTAGATATTATCATCCAACCTTGTACCGAAACGAAGCGGATAAATTCAAATTAAAATTTCTAACAATTAATTCATTCAAAAGTTATACGGGACAGTTTCTTCTGGTATACTATTACACATGTAACACACCAAGGCTAACTTTTTTTGTACTCTTCACATCGGCGTACACGGGCAGCACGGGCTAGAAAATATTAAATCAGTACCAAAGTTCCCATGTTTCTTACTTTCTGTTACAACTTTCATTTTTCATCGCTAGCAAAACAACTTTCTGAAAACTTCAGAATTATGGCATAACAAGTACAAATCCGTATTTTCACATACGCAGAACACTTCTATGCTAGATTGTACTTTACTGTAACTTCAGGGATGTGCAGTCGTGCTCACAAAAATCTCATACAAAGACTTTTTTTATTTTGTTGTAATTTGTGCCTTTAATAATAATAATAATAAATTTGTTTGTAGGTTTGTACACATGGGTTACATAAACTGTTTTGTACAGGTCTCAATAGAATAAAAATAAAATTTGAAAAAACAAATCACATACAAAAATACACTATGTTATCATCATTTAAGAAGCATTCGTAACTGTAAAAGGCCCTACTCAACAAATAACTTTTAATAACTGTTTTGTGCCTCATAACCTCGAGGTTCTTTATGTGAGAGAGTAGTTTATTATAAAATGTGATACAATAAAAATGATCGCTACACTGAGTTGTTATTAAGCTATTTTTTCTTGGACATAAGTGTGTGTCTTGTGTTGTAGTTGTCTTTGTGACATATGTACATACAATACATTTTATTCTACATTTTGTTTGGTATACTTCTACCAGTTCTACCCTTCAGTACACTTCGTTTTTTAACGATTTTGGCCTGTTTTTAAACCTACTCTTTTTTAAAAGTAAAATTTTATTAAATCTACCGTGTTTTTCCAAAGAGAGCCTTTTTTAAAAAAGCCAAAATTTTAAGAAACCTACCCTGTTTTATAAACGCGAATACGATTTCATCTAAACAAATTCGGACAAGTTCTCATGAGCGAAGAGAATTCACCTTTAAAAACACTTTAAATTCGCCTTTTTACCCTGTTTTTCTATTGGGCCACTTCAGCACACATATGAAGATGATTTCGTCCAAACAAATTCGACAAGGTCCTCATGAGCGAAGCGAATTCACAGCCCTGTTTTTAAGGTATTTACAAATATTTCAAGGATTTTACCCACTTTTTCTAGTTTTACAATTATATGTACAGGGTGTTCATTTTATCTGTTCACGCCTGACAGTTTTTTCATAGGCAACATATACATCCCAGAGACGACTTCGTCCAATTTATTTATTTATTTTTTTTATAATAAGCAATCAGCATTCGCAGAAAAAAAATTACAAATATGTCAATGCCAAATAATGACAACATCGAAAAAAAATAATACTCAATTTATTATTGAATCAGATTACAATGAAAACGAATTTATAATAAATGTTCAAAATGTTTTCCTCCAGTATCTTCACAGAGTCCTATCTTACGTTCAAAATTTCTACGAACTCTATCTAACATGTCGGGGGTTATAGATCTGCATGACGTTATTATCCTTTCACGTAAGTGGTTTTCATTTTCGATTGGGACACTATGAGCGTCATTTTTCACCTTCCGCCAAAGAAAAAAATCAAGTGGCGTTAGATCAGGGCTCCGTGTAGGCCAAGCGTACTCTTCTTCTCTAGCAATAAGTCTTGGTCCAAACGCTCTGTGTAAATAGCTCCTAACGTCTCTCTGGCAATGAGCGCGAGCGCCATCATTTTGAAACCAAATTATTCTTCGTATATCTAACACTACGTTTTCCAACAGTTCAGGTAAAATATTCTTTAAAAAATGTAGATACATAGGTCCGTTTAAATTTCCTTCAAAAAAATGTGGACCAATGACGTGGTTATCAACAATTCCACACCATACCTTTTTGCTATCTACAAATTTCTGCTTGGAAATTCTTTGGTATTATAAAATTTATCTCACCCTTTCGTACTGTCGGAGCCAACGTACCTATACTCAATATTCGGCGGCGGATTAAAAAACCGACCGCGACAGCCAGTTTGTATGTACCCGTTTCCGTTTGTGCAGTGTAATAAGTACTCTTCTCTTAGGAATTGTAGTATTTTATAGCTGCAATTTTATTTACTTTACTGCACATATTGTTATAGACATATCCTATATCCCTGATATAGCTTGAATAAATGTATTCCAATAATAAAGTTCCATTTAATCAATATCATTCATTTAATTAAAATGGGGAATCAAATCAAAACAAAACGTAAACATGTCATAATATTTTTGTAAAAATTTTACTCGCATTTATCTTGCTATTGTCAGAGACTTCAAAAGGTGGTCAAATAAAATAAATAAATTGGGTTAATTCCTTATCGATTTAGAGTTTAGGCAGAAAACGAACCAACATCAGGCTTTCAAACTGTAGCAAAATACCGTTATTGATAAAAATACGATACATTTCATAGAAACAATGTTGTTATTTGAATATCTAGATATATAGTACAATTAGTTATCTTGGTCTTGATTGAAAGCTACTTCCGACCCTGTGGAATCAGACGAAGCAGTTGACTCCCTGTAAAAATACAAATAATCACACAATAATTTCAATTTGAACTGCGTACATACGTGAGTACTTGTGCAAGTAACTATATAAATTAAAAACGGATTAGAATGTTTTCTTGCCCCATCAAGGTTCGTATTTTTTTAATCCCACGGTCCCGAAATCTAGTGATTTCAAAAAAATTGTCAAACTTGGTTTTCGAAATCTTCGAGTGATTATTATGCCTGTTTTCCCAATTTCCTTGAAACCTCTACGACGAAATTCAATGAAAATTATTTCGTCCTTCCTCTCATCATGCGGCTGAATGAAAATTTGCGTTTTATTAATTATTATCAAACAGGCGTAGAATGTAGAACCCTTAAATATAAATTGGTTAAATATAAAACGTATATATAATAATATTAAATTACTTTACATTGAAATGTCTCACGTTAAAGTTTGTCATATTGTCTAGTCGACACTGTTGTGTTTTAATCGAACGACTTCAGGCTCTTTGTTTTTATAGTATAGCTTGGACCTTCTAATTTTCCTTTTGGTCTATAAAAAACATAAATATCTTTTTGCCAAGTATCGTCAATACCTCTGTGTTCAAAGCGACGTGTTGGATATGTTTTCTCGCGGGTTTAAATAATTCAATAATTAAAATGTCTTCAGGTGATTTGGAAATATTATTTTTCACTGATTGACAATTTCTGCAAGTTGATATTCTTCTCCATCGGTTATATTTTACAATAAATTCTGGTTCTCCAGTGGATTTAGTTTTCTTTTTGCATGTTTTACAATAATCCATTTAGCCGGCAATAAACTGA